AACCCGCCACCTTAGGTGTACGTGGCTGGCGCCTTAGCCGGTTGAGCTATAGGCGCCGAGCCAATGTCTTTACTCTTAAGAGCTGGGTGCTGAAGTATTTAAGAGTAAAATGCCATGATATCTGCAACTTACTTTCAAATAGTTCCATTGTTAAAAAATAAAAAGAGCATAATAAAGTGAATATGGCAAAATGTCATTAATTCTTCCATGTAAGTGGAGCACATATTCTTTATTATTCTTTGAACTCTTCTATACGTTTTAATAAATCCTTTAGATCTCATCTTAAATACCCATCCTCAAAGAAACCCTCCCTTGCCCATCTCACCTGCAGCAAGGCCTCTGTCATTTTCTCTACCTGCTGTTTTCTTGCAGCTTTTATTATAATTTGTCTTATCACATGATTATTTGATTAATAATGTATCTCTCTCTCTAGACTATAAAACCTTCAAGTGTAGGTAAAGGTTTACCCAAGCACATAGCACAGAGGAATCAATCACTCAAGTGTTTGTGGAACCAATGTGCTGTCACATGAAGCCATTTGTCCTTCTTTCCTTCCATCCAGCAAACACGGCGCTTAACCCCAGGAATAAAGATGAACAAGGTCCCTGCCGTAGGTCACACAGGGACTAGCTGGTGCTGGATACCATAACAGAAAAACCTCTGAAGTTCAGGGGAAGCAGCTGGCCCAGCCTGAAAGGTTAATAATGACTCTCTGGAAACAATGCCTGCAGCTAAAGAAGGCTAAGAAGGGCAGAGCTCAGTTCTCAGAGGGGGGCAGGTTCTTAGGCTCTTTTTGCCCCCTACCAACTCCTGGACCTCAGCCTAATGCCTGGTGCCACACACAAATCATAGAAGTTAGCCAAACCAGGCTAATACGGGGAGGGAACCCACAGACTCAGTAAAGTTAAATATAGGAGAGGGATGCTTAAGTCTGTGAATATGCACTGAGATATGCTTACCAAAGCACATCTCTTCTGGCAGGTTATAACCTGCAAGTTACTTTAACAATAGTTTTTATCTCATATTTTAGAACTGAGCACCATTTACAAAGCTTTTACCATGCATTATACCATATGATGATAGGTTTTTGCTAAATTTTGAAACTTAAAGCAAAAGTCAGAAGTTAACATATGCCTTTCTCCATCTCAGTCTGGCATTAGATTTCATATCTATCTTAATCCATGTGTAAAGAATTTTCTCCCTGAAGTTTTCTACCTTAACCAGAGCTCAACGCCACTGTGCTCATCCCCAGTGGTTCTTTGCATCCCCACCAGCTTACTGGGTTTATAGGTAACATGGTTTATTTGCTTACTGTGTTTATATGTAACATGGTTACCCGCTGTGGTCAAGGAGGCAATTCTGATTGATTTGTTCACTACAGCATCTTAGCAGACAGGCTGGAGTTCACAGGGATCTAATCGACAATGACAGAAAAGCTTCAGGGCCTAACCTGGGAAGCTTGTTCAGTAAATCATGGTACAGCTACCCCAAAACCATTACTTGGTAAAAATGAAATCAGAGGAGTATATTTAAGGACATGGGAACAAACATATGTTGCCACAGAAATAAGAAAACAGTTTACAAAATGGCATGTTCTAAAACTGTGAAATTCATTCATCTGTTTACAAACCAAAGTAAACCTACGAATTAACCACCCACTAATGCTGAGTCCTGTCCTAATCCCAGAAGACAAGGCAACTGACAAGCAAACAAGAATGGGTTCTTGCCCTTCTCTACTTACATCCTAGCGGGGTTGAAGGCTGGCAATCAAGAAGCAAACGCATGAGCAAGAACTTAAGGTGGAGACTTGGGTTTCATCTTTGCAACTGTCAACTGTGCTGCAATAAACATTCAAGGGCAAGTGTCTTTTTGATAAAATGACTTTTTTCCTTTGGGTAAATACCAATACCCGATAGTGGTAATGGTGGATCAAATGGTAATGTTAGCACTGGTTATTCCTGGGTGACAGGATTTTGGGTAATGCTTATCTGCATTACATTTTTCTATTAGATTTCTAAATTTCCTATAACTATGTTTAATTTTCACAGCCAAAAATGTTAAGCAGTAAAACAAAACAAAAATGCCTACCACCAGATAAACAAACCATACCAGCAACTAAACGTGCTTCCTAGCAGAGACTTCTTTCCTCCGCCTCCCTGACCAGCTATTATCAACCGTCTCCTCATTCTCTCTGGTACCAAGGCTCTGGTCCCTCTGCTATGTTTTCTCTTGTTTCCCTATATGTCTCCCTAAAAAAACACCCAAACCCTAAACCTTCTACTTGTCCTTCCAAGACTGAGCTCACAGGTGACCTCCAGTGAGTGGCTTCATCCCTGGGATCTGAATGGTCCCTTCCCAGGATCCCTAGCTCTGCTACAATGTTTACCAGTTAGCTGGGTCATTACGCTGAGGGCAACTCCAGAGGCCGGGTTATATTCATCCTTTATTTGCACTCTCCTCAAAAAAAGCCACAGCAGTAGTTCTCAACATTCCTAGTGCCGCAGCCCTTTAATATAGTTCCTACAGGTTGAGAACCACTGTCTTAGAGGTTTTTTTTTTTTTTATTACGTAAGGTTTTCTTTTATTTAAAAGATCATTCACAAAATACCATATCCATAGATTTACTTTCTGTCATATAGCTGAATGTGTTAAGTGTTTGGAATTCCATTCTTACATTTAAAAGTCAACTGGATTGCCCAGAAGTTTAGATGAATTTGTTTTGTTCTTTATCTTTTCCACATTGAAGATGTGAGTAGGTCATCTGAAAGCATCAGGTTTGATTACAACCACATAATGCATGTCTTTCTTAAGTATTGGTGTTACACAAATGGTTCTTATCTCAGAAGCAGAGAAGCTGACAGGGAGAAGGAAGGAAAAGTTTGAGAGTTCTGTAGATTGCTGAGACCTTGTAACAAAGATACAGTAAGAGAAGCCAAGGATGACAGCTAGTGACCAACTATTACCTAAGCATACCATGCTGTGCAAGCCAGGCCACCCTGGGCCTTGCAGTCATCACATTAGGGCATTTCCTCCTGGGGCTCTAGTGGCTAGCTGCCCCAGAACTGCTCCCAGTGGGACATACTGATGCTAAAAATTGTTTTCCTTTGTTCACAGACAGGTGTACAAGCATAAAAGCTTAACCTCCTATATCCAAGTAAGTGCTAGACACTCTACATAGGAACAGTAAAACTTTGTCTGAAGGATGAGGCAGCAAACCTAGACATTTATTGTCATCTGTAGTTAATTTAAGGTTCTTGACTGCTCTGCATAGTAAAATTTTCAATTCAGTAAGTGAAATAAAGTGCTAAATTCTAGGCCCATTTTCACTATGAATATAAGGGGCAGTGGAAAGCACAGTATCTCATGTTACCTATACTAGGAAACAAACACAAAATACACAAACAGAGATTTGGAGAAAAGCAATGTCCGTGCTGTAAGTTTGCCTAGCATAGTGGAAGCACCATCCCCTTCAATCCCCAAAGCACCTCAGCCCAGCCAAAGAAAAAACAAGCTGGCAGTTTGCTGCACCCAGCCAAAGAGGAACATCTTAACACCCCATGAAAAGGAGTGAGGCAGTTTGGACAGGATCTCAAAAGAGCAGTAACAAAAATGTACAAGCAAATAAAAGCATTCAGTTTTACCTTCTCTGTGGACTCCTCACTAATAGCCCATAATGACCCTTTCAGGTCCCACTGTTTGAAATGTGAGCTTATTTTCCTGAATAGTCCGTTTAGGGAGGGGGTAACAGAAACAGGACTACCCATAAATAGAAATGGGAAGGAATCTGCAAAGATCAACAGATATTTTTATCATTATTTGAAAACTAGGTGCCTCAAATACTGTTATGTCAATCATAGCAGAATAAAAACAAAATGCAGTTCAATTTGTCAGTGACTTCTCTATCTCCACTCCATATCCCCTTGGAAGCCACAGCAATACAGAACTCAACATGCAGGTCAGAAAAGGAGGACTGAGAAAAATCAAAGGAGATGCCTAGGGTTTGGCCAGTGTATCTAAAGTAAAAAAGAGAAAGCAAAGGAGAAAAATGAAGCAGCACCTTAACCCCAACAGCTCCCATGCAGTGGCTGGCTTCGATCCTCCAGAGAACCTCCTGTGCTGTAAGGAAAATGAGGAGCAAGAAGGAAAAAGGACAGAAGGAAAATGGGAAAGTGGTAGGAAAAAAAAGGTACAAACAGGCACTAGATACAGCAAAGCCAAGAATGTACTAAAAACCACTTGTTGACAGCTGACATGCATTCACAAGCTCTGTGTTTCCGTTATAAGAAAGGACAATGTCAGGCGCAGGAATGGTAACTGCAGGACTGCCGCCTTGGGGGAATCGCCAGGCTGAGGTCTTGCTCTAACCCCCCACAACCTATTCCCTCCCAGCTGCAGGCTCATTCTTGCTCCTTGTGAACGACTTCCTCTCTGGGCCTGGCTCCCCGGAAGATGGCAGAGTTGGGATTGGCTACTTGATTAAGAGGCGTTGCAACTGTTTGAGGTTTAAGCTGGAGTAGTGGTCTCTGAGCTCTTTCCTCTTCTGTTGGTTCTCAGAAATCCATGTTGGATCCATGAAGAGGAGGGCCATCTCTGAAACGACTGCCCATTGGAGGGCCTGTTTGCCGGTCACTTGGGCGACTTCCTCCCCTGCCTCCTAAGAAGTCATCCCTGAAGCCTCTGTCATCTGGTCCACCTTTTCTGAATCCAAAGCCACCTTTATCTTGTTTTCTGCATTCTGCAATGTCCACATGAAGTGACCGATCACCCAACAGTGCACCATCGTATGTCAAAGCTTCCTTAAGGGAATCCACCTCATCAAATTCTACATAGCAGAATCCTTTAAATTTGTCTGTGTCTTTGTCTCGAATTAGCCGTACACTCCTTATGCTGAGATCCTTAAAGATAGCATCTATGTCACCCTGAACCGTATTAAAAGGTAGATTTCCTACATACGCTGTGTAGGGGGGTTCTGTGTGCAGCTCCTTCTGGCTACAGGAGCCATGGCCACCAGCACTGCTGCAGGACCCTCTGCCACCGCCGAAGCTGCTGTAGGCTCGATCGTCGTAGGTATCAAAGTCCGCCATTTGCCGTCTCCGCTCCCAGAGGAACCAGCTGTCTTAGAGTTTTAATACTAAATAAAATTATTTTCCCCACTTTAACCAAATATTACTTAAAATTCATACCCTCAGCTGTGCCAGGAATTGAGTTCTAAGCAGTAGAGTTCTGTAGGCAAAAGGACACCCACTCAACTGAACTCCTCAATTCCTAGCAAGGAATGGGAAGTCCAACCAGAACAATGGCAAATGTCAACAACTTAAATTCTGGTTTTCTTGGTTTTTTTTTTGAGACAGAGTCTTACTATGTCACTCTCGGTAGAGTGCTGTGGTGGCACAGCTCACTACAACCTCAAACTCTTGGGTAATTCTCTTGCCTCAGCCTCACAAGTAGCTGGGACTACAGGCGCCCACCATAATGCCTGGCTATTTTTGTTGTTGCAGTTGTCATTGTTGATTTTAGCTGGCCCAGGGTGGGTTCAAACCCACCAGCCTCAATGTATGTGGCTGGCGCCCTACCCACTGAGCTACAGGCACTGCCCTTAACTTCTATTTTGAATCTCTGGAACCCTACCATCACTACCATTTATCATATGTCCTTACTGGGCTAAGAGTCTAATATACATTATCTTATTGAATCCTGACAATCCCACAAGGTAGGTCCTGCGATAGGCTAAACAGCTACCTAAATAAGTCCATTTCTTTTTTTTTTTTTTTTTTTTT